GAAAGAAAAGTGTGGCCCAATATAGCTGTAAAGCTGAATGCACTTTTAACACAGTTTGTAAAATTTCATGCCTTATTTTCCATTTAAAAAAACCCTTTGAGTGCATTTCTCTGTCAACTGTGAGCAAATTTCCCTTTTGCCTTTTATGAAAAACAATGCATTTAGTGGTTAACTGCTGCAGCATTATAAGGCAAGCAAAGTAATGGGCAAGTCACTTTTTAGATTTCCTACCAAGCAGCTGTGAAATCATGTTCCAGTGGCTAAGAGGTTGAAAGGGAAAAAGTAAAATGTGCCAGATGGATGACAATTTTAGTAGCTGCCAAATGTGCCTTTTGTCAAAGATCATCTGTAACTATTTTAAAAAGAAAGGTAGACTATTTGGGTCGTATGGTATTGGAATTGCTTTGGACAAAGTTGTTTCTATCTACTTGGGAATTATCTTTTTTTTCTGTTTATAAAGTGGGAATATCATTAGATTCCAATAAGTTTGTTCCAGTATATGTGTACGTTCGCCTTTGTTTAATGGAATGGTTCCTTGCCAAAATGAGTAAATGTTGAAAGCTTTGTCAGTCCAGATGTAAAAAGAAAAAAAGCAGAAAGAGAAAAKTGGGAAGCTTTACCTGGCGCATCTTCTGACCTGTATACCTAAGTGTCTGTAGGTGATCTTTGTATGCTGTGTCTGCAGTGGTATTTGGATTGCGTTGGAGTGAAAATTTACTAGTGGCGGTTATCTTTTGGCATTAAAAGATACATTTTAAAAATAAAAAATGCCTTACATATCCCAGAAGTGTACACTTTTGAATATGTAAGATACAATGGAACTCTTGGTAGTCTGAGACTGACTGCCTTAAGCTTAATACTGTGTGCTTTACATTAGGACACTTGTGAGTCTGCTTCAAATGTAGGTATGGCCCAGAAGAGGAAAATGTTAAAATATGTAATAGCTTCTGAATTGCAGAACCATATGGAACAGGAGACAAGCAAGATGTACATGTACAGAGGGGAAAACAAAGTGGCCTCCTGACAATGGGACCTCTGTGATTACAGAGACATGTTTTAGCTGCGTTGTTCTCTGCTGCAGGATTGTTCATTGTAGGTGTTAGTCCAGCTCTGCAGCTTTCAGATATAATGTACTGCATCAAAGGATCTGCAGTTAAGGGGGCAATACTGTCTCTTGATATTACTGTATGAATCTGTTAGGTAGCCTAATATCTTGTCTCTTTTTTGAATCAGATCTCAGCAAATAAAGGTGGTGTTATGTTTCAGGACTTCTATCTGGCATTAGACAAAACACCTGCTTTCAAAGAACAGAGTGAAAGAATGAAGAGCACTCCTAAGTAGATGATGTTTGATATTTGTGGTATCCCCCTGCAGAACCTCTGAAAGCAAAGAAACTAAAACCTCAGCAGGCAAATGCAGTACTGCTGCGGCTCCTCACCCATTCGTGCATCAGCAGATGGCCCTAGGATTTTCTGTGCAGAGTTTGGAGAAAAGAACTGGATTTGCTACAGTCTGTTGAAATCCTTTTGCTTCTGCAAGAGAATATTGGCATAGTCTGTAGTCAGTTATGCTGATGCAGAGTAACAAAGTGGGAAGAAGATATATTTAAGCAGTCTCTAAAGCCAAATTTATTCATTATCTGAGGAGATTCAGGCTGGCTACCTTAAGCAAGGAATAAGGCTGTGGAAAGATGATATTGAAAATTCGTAGGCATGATGACAACATGTCCTGTAGGGAGTTGTCGCAGGCATTGGCAGTTCCCCATTAGCTGATAGGCATATGCTCATCCATATGGTGAAAAGGGAGTTTCACCATACTGGAAATATGCTAGATTGGGTTGGAAATACTCAATGTTTCCAACCAAGATCCTAATCCCTGAGTTGGCAAGACTGCAAGGTGCTGCAGAGCAGCAGGAGGAACATCAAGCAGACTTACTCATGCTACATGGTGTGAGGAGGTGTGAGCGCAACGGATTGAGTTGCCCTGTTTGTGGACCTTCTGAGAATGAGGCAATGGTGAGATGTGTGCACAGCACTGGTAGTTGGAGTGAACCATGAGGAAACTTGATACATGACAGGTGTTTGCTAGACAAGAAGATACTGAAGTCTCTTGTTTAGCTGGATAGCTGAAATTACAGTGGCATGGATGTGAGTGGGCTTGTGGGATTTATTATATTTTTTGTGAAGACTGGTTCATTTGTAACAGAAGCAGCAGAAAGTGGCACTGAAGAAATGTCACACTGAGCTGCACTAGCTGAGCAGCACCCTAACTAGCAGAAGCCAAATATAAGAGAGCTTTTCAGCTGAGTGTTGTGTGGAAAGCAATGGGATTGGGTGTATAGAGCACCATCCTCTCACATGACTTCATATGTGGACAGGATTTTGTAGGTTGTTGCCTGGGAGAGAGACATGGGAAACATGCATTCATCCATTTAAAGGTTGCAACCTAATGGCTGATTCAGTGCAAAAGACACAACAGTGTTATTTAAAAGCAACATTTATTTGGCACAGGAAGAAAAATAATCCGGAACGCACACATACTGAAGATGAGGTTGAGTTGGATCCTACAAGAGGCTATGTTTTTCTGAGCATCATTCTACTCATTTTATGTACACTTTGCAGATTCTGAGCAGGTACAAGGAAAGATTCAGGACATCTCAAATGATAAGTACAGGGCTGGAAGTAGGAACTCACACAAGAGCAGAAAGAAATAATATCCATCAATCTCACTATGCTTTAAATCAGTAAAACAGAAGCTAAAATCCATGTGCATTTTACAAGCGAGAGCCTGCCATTCTGGAAAGATTTCTTTATTCAAGAGATATAGCCAGGTAGGTGTTCCCTTTTGTCCCCATTTCTGTCCTGACATCTCTTTGGCAGGTGTGAGCAGCAAATCCAATGCCTCTTCTTACGTACAGGCTAACCTGACTTTGGCTGTTGCAGGAGTGTGTGGATGGTCAGTGTGGAGCAGTGCTAGGTAGAAGAGGCCAGAGAACTTGTAACTTGATGAGGATGCAAGGGAGAGAGGAAGAGATTGAACTTTTTTTTTCACTCAAAACCTCAAAAAAAATCCCAGAATAACTTTCAAAAGATACGCCAAAAAATTTCTAGCACAAATGTCCCCCTTCACTTAAGAAGAAAGAGAGATTGCTGTTTTGGGAACTATTTGGGGTCCACTCAGCTATACAGGAAAGGCATTGGCTAAAACATTCTAGTCTCTGGACTTTTGCTTGGCCAAACCATTTTAATCTCTAGAGTTTTTCTTGGTTGCTTTCTTGAAATGTCGGAAAAGCTTTGACTGAGATAAAAGGCAAATTTTGCTTGGGTTGGGTTAACCCCCCTTTTCAAGCAAACCTCTTTCCCTCCCCAAGAGGAGGAAAAGCAGATTTGATGATGGCAATTCAGCTGGCACTGTTACCAAGCTGTAGGCCCTGGGTGTCTGCTCTTGCTGGTTAGCCACTGCAGCCTAGGTTACTGGCTTCCTGCCCTCCCTTTAGCATTGCTGCTTCTTGGAGAGCTGTACAGCATGTTGAGTGCTCTTCTTTTTACCCCTCCACGTAGGGGGAGATATGGGGCGCCAGGTGTGGTCACCTTGTGCAGGTGTTGGTGTACCAAGCCCCTCATCTCAACACCCTGTCCCACAGGAGGTTGTTGTCGGCCCCACTGAGACAATTCACAGCCTCTTCAGATATGAGGACAGACTGGTGTCAGAACTCTGTCAAAAGAAGATGAGAAAAACACCTTTTTTTTTTTCCTGAAACTGTCCTCAGGATGCCCCAGCTTCAGCTAATACCACAATGCTGAGCCATCAGTTGCTTTTGCTGCTGAGGTGTGGCATGGATAGTGCACGAGAAGAGCTGTATTTTCCTCCATATCATTGCTTCAACACAAGCTACAATCTAGCCTAAAACAGCATTGCTAAGGATCTTTCATTTGGAGGCATGGAGAGGGGATGCTTGTGGTTTTGTTGTGAGAAGAGTACAGTCACGTAAAAGGGAGTGCTTGTGATGTGGCATGTGGGGCACCATTGCCTTGCCTTTCATGATGCCTCAACGTGAGCTAGAAGAGCTGCTTCAAAACAGGGTGCTGCACATGCTGGGGCTTGTACAGAGGGGTCAGACCAAAGAGAATTAGCAAAGAGTATTCAAAATGTATTACAGGCCAAAAGCCAGGACACTGGCTGACTGTGTCGGTGTTGGCGTCAGTTCATGATTGGAGAGAGCGTAGAAGTGTTTGTGCCCTATGGCAGGCCCTGATTTCAACCAATGCCACCTGCCTGGAGACACAGATGATCCTGACAGCAAGAGTAGAGAGTCATATGGTAGGAGGCAATTCAAGGAGAAACACATTCAGTAAGTTGAATAAAAAGTAGAGCAAGATTTCAGAGAGCAATGGAAGTCCAAAGGGAAGGATGTTGTTCGCTAAACCTGGTGTGTCTGCAGATAATTTGTTGGATCTCTTCAACCCAGCTGGATAATGATATATGGCTTCCTGGAAAACATCGTTGACGATRGGTTTTCTTTGGAAATTGATGGAAAGAAGAGAACTTCAGATCAGAGTGCAAATGCTGCAAAGACAAAGCCTTTCTGTTGTGGGTGAGCCAGATTAGGCTTGGTTTCAATGTGGAAGAGCAGAGATGTTAAAGGAAACTGAGCAACCTTGGAGGATGAGAGGGAGGAGAAGAGACTTAGATTTGGCCAAAGCTTTCCAAAACTCCAAGGGAAGGTAGGCTTAAGTCAGGCAGGGGTGAAAGCTAGCAAGTCCCTGCACTTACTGGACCTGCTGGCTGAGCTCTTCTTCAACCCATAGCCCGGAGCTCCCCTGYGCCAGGGAGAGCAGGCTGCGTGTGTGTGCAAGGCCGCTGTGGGAGAGGCAGCTCTCGACCACTCCTCCCTCCACCTACTGTGTTAGCCAAAGGGGATCTCAGGGCCTCGCTGTCTGTCTCCACCCTCAGGGACCTGGGAGGCCCAGTGGCACTTAGGCTGCCGCCTGCCTCCCTTGGGGCTGCTTATTTCTTTTTGAAGAGCTTGCGGAAGGAGCTCCGGAAACCCCCCTTGGGCTCGTGCCGCGGGTTGTGGTCGCTGAAGGATGTTTGCTCATTGTCATCCTTCTGGCAGAACCTGGTGTTGTCTTCTGCATGGAGCTCCTAAAAGGGAAAAGACAATTTAACCAGCGTTTGCAACCTCACGTCCTTGTCCCTTTCTCTTTCGCCCTCTCTGTGCTAGGAGGAGGGACCTGGTGGGTAACAAGGTGCTGACAAGGCTGTAGGATAATAGCGTCACTCAGGTCTCAGCAGTGCTGGTACCTCTGCAGAGAGCTTGCTGAAGGCTCTGTGAAGCCAGGGCATTGGCAGAGGCATGAAGAGGCACTGTTAGAGGGAACTGAAGCTTTCCTCACTAACTTCCTGTGTAGAAAAGCCTTGCTAGCCTCTTCTTTGGCCAACAAGGGAGCAAGACAGCATGAGGAGTTGAAGGAGCAGGTCCTTTCTGCCCCCATCCTCACTCATTAACTCCATTTACCTTAGAAGAGGGAGGCTTCCCTAGCTGAAGGGATGGGTGAAACTCTTCTGTTGGCTCTGCTGCTCCCTGGTTGGTTGTCTGTGGAGCAAGAGGCTTTCATTAGCACACACCTTGTGGTAAATGTGCCACTGAAAGATCTCTCTCCCTTTCAGGAGACTCAGGGCTGTGTACCTCAGTGTGGTTCCAGAGAGGCCCCTTTTCCTCCAACTGAGCCCACCTCTGCTGCAGTGGTCTCCTTTGGGAGAGACCACGTCCTGCAGAGGCTGTARCCAACATAACAGCAGCTATGATGGACTAGTTCCCATCTGCATCCTGCTCTGTGCAGCAGGGGCAAGATCTGTTTTTCTGGTTGGGCTGTGTCCCTACAGCTCTTCTTTCTCTGCTTCACCTCCTCTGCTCAGTTCTCCATCACCACTTGCTAGGCTTTACTCTCACTTGCTAGACTTTTCTTTTCCTTAAGGTCTCCCTGCTGCCTTTTCAGTCAGGCTCTCGGGAATCTCCCATCATCATCTGCAAACTTCTTATCCCTTGCCTCATTTGAACAGGAGAGAGTTTCTCCGTGCTGCAGGGAGACATCAGCCTAGCATGGAAGCCTCTTCCCAAGGAGGTGTAAGGGCACAGAGATACTCGTTTCTGCCTCTCCCCTGACTGCTGCAAGTCAAAGCTCACTCTGAATGGGCACTGCAAACTGCAGAAATGTTCTTGCAAGGCCTGGTGCACCTGCAGGACTGGAGTGCCACCTGACATGCCAGGAATTGTCCAAGGGACAGGGATGCAATTGCTGGGTTCTCTTTTCCCCAGACTTCAACGTGGCTCCAAGGGCCATAGAGCAAATGCAGGTGAAACCAAAACCGTGGACCAGATCCTTGCTGGTGCAAATGGGCTGACATGGCAGTCGCGCTGTTTTGCACCAGTGGAGGATCTGATCCTAAATTTCTTATCCCAGCACTCCTCCTTGCAGCAGGTGAAAGGGCACCTTTTTAACTGAATGCCAACATATAGCACTCATTTAAAATATTTTTGCTTGTACCTTATGGCCTTGATCAGATTCAGCATTTACTCAAAAGGGGAACTCAGTGGAAGCTGAAGAAACACAAGAGACTAGTTTGTCTCCAGGGAAATCCAGCTCTGCACTCAGACAGCTGCATATCGCAAGCCCATGCCTGTCCCTGGGGAAGGTATGTRTGAAAAGGAGCTGTCCTGCATCTTGTCCTTCCCTTGGGAATGTACATACAGAATAGGGCTTTGAATGTGCAGACTTGGAAGCTATTTTGGCATGTTCTCCCCTAACTATCTCAGATCCTGCTGCTGCTTTTGCACCACCACGTGCCTTTCTTTTCTCCTATTTATGCCTCCTTACTTCCAAAAAGCTCTGTTTTTCACCCGCTCCTCTCTGTGGGGGGAAGTAGCTCCTTTGGGAGCTTCGAGCTGAAGCTGAGATCATGTGAGGCTGGACATTTCTCTCCTGCTTCTGCTGGAGTCGGCTTCCACTGCTGCTCCTCGTGCTGTAGAGCCTGGTGCTCACACCCTCAGCGCTCCTCGGCAGCTCCTTCAGGGACCTGCTCAGCTGCTTGCCTTTGCTGTGGAACATCTCACGCTTGTAAGTGCTGCTGCTTACAGGAGTACAGCTCTTAGGCAACGGTTGTAAGGCATGATCTGTCCTCTCTGGTTCTGACGTGAAGTTAACAGGCCTAAGGAAGCAAATGTCTAAGCTGGATTCAGAAGAGGCTGGGGAGCAATTCTCGAAGAGAGGAAGGTTTTGGAAGGCATCATCTTCATAGGGGCCTGGCAGGGTGAAAATCTCCCCAGGGTAGTCAAATTCTTCATAGCTTGGTGTAAAGTTCCTCGCATCCTGCAGCAGCTCAACAGAGGTCCTGATGGCTCGCTCTGTATTTCCCACTGCATCAGCTGGTGGTGCTTCGTACTCCATTTCGGGGATGGATTGTAAGGGAGCTGTCAGAGCCTTGAGTTCCTGCTCTGTGAGCTGAGAAGATGCAAGGATGTTTTCTGGCCTCTCGTGTTTTCTACTTTCCATTTCCCAGTCAGGGGGTTTTACAGCCTGGATGTTCTCCATCACAGCCGGTTGAGATTTCTTCATCTGGGGCATCAAATGCCTTGAGTATCAGAAACAAAACAAAAACAAACAAACAAACAAACAAA